GTAGATTCAAGACTAAACCTTCATCGTCAGCAAAGGATACAAGGAAAACTAGCAAAGTTAATGACACATATTTACATCACAATCTGCCAGCATCTGCCATAGATGGTATTAGAGAATGCCAGATTCCAGATCAAGATAAAGACATTTTGGAAAGAATTGCTTCCTGGAAGAAACAACTTGATGTAAGTAATAGTAGGCATATGACGGTGGTGAACAAAAATGAAAATAAAAGTTGCACCATCGAAAGTTATAATTCAGAATATCAAATAGAACATTTTTCATTAATACGCACGCCTAGAGATATGGCTGCCCTAGAAGCTAACAATGTTGCATCAGAACAAGTGAAACCTCTTGAAGTGGGATCGCCAGACCCAGCCAAGAGTTTTGTGGAGAATGGTAATAACTCGGAGGCGATGTTTAAAGTTCCATCTAAAGAATCCAAAAATGCTTGTGAGGTATGTTCAGAACACCCGTTGACTGCTTCACTGGAATCTCGAGAACCGATGAGTAATTTAGTTAAAGTTATTGATAGTATTGCACGGGGATACCCAGCCTATAGTCAAGAAACGAGAGCAGTTTCTGCCTTTCAGGAAGAAAGTGGTGACAGATATACAAAAATATATAAAAAAAGAGGTAAATCAAAGAATAAACTTTCATCAACAAATGATCAGATGAAAGCTGAACAAGTTAATGGCACCCATTTACCTTACAATCTTGGTGTGATTACCAAAGATAATGTGAGAGAATGGCAGACATATGCTCAGGATAAAGACTCACTTAGAGTATCACAGAAAAATAGAATAAAGACCATTAAATTTCAAAATGAGTTTTCACTGCAAAGTCTTCAAACAGAAGGTAAAAAAGATAAACAAAAACGTAACTTAAATGGCTGTCCTCGTGTGAAAAAGATAGCTGGAAAGGTAGATAAGATGAAAAAATATAGGAAAACAACTTTAAAGCATTCAGATTGTTTTGATATCACAGATACAGAAGATACTGTTGTATCAATAGGGGAACGAATCAAGCTGCGCAGGAGACGTGACAAACGCAGGGAAATCAATAAGAGTTTATCTTCGTCACCCAAGAACAATAATAGAGATGAAATTATTATCATCTCAAGTTCTTCATCGAACGAGTCAGGATTGGACGATGGCTCTGTCGCTATTAGCGCTTCCACATTGCAAAACATTCAGCCAGGAATTTTTTTGGAGACCTTACCTATCGCACAGCTGCATGACAACCTCACATCTCTACAGAGTCACGAGAACACTACTTCACATTACAGTACTAAAAGAAAGTTCTCTAGCAGTGGACCTGTTGATTCCCTTGTAAAGAAATTTAAACTAGAAGACAAGATAAATGAGTTTTCAGTTAAAAAAATCAAAGTAGACCTAAGTTCATCTCCTCTTTCAAGATCAACACATGATAATTCTGTTAATGTAAATTACCTAATTAAACAAGAGACGAAAAATAATGCAACTTGGCAAAATACTTGTCCAACCAAGGCATATAGTGTACTATCTCACCTTCCCCTGTTATCACGTAAGTTAAGTTTGATAGAAGCTGACAGCTTTCCACAGACATCTCAGGTACGTGATGAGAATTTTCCCAGTGCTCCTGACTTCATCGATTCTGAAATCGTGACCCTTCGTCCTCTGGTCATGAAATCAAACGTGGAATCTCGAAATGAAAATTCAGGCATTAATTTTACTAATGAATCCCTTCCTTTGGCTGTGCAGTCTAGTAGAGACTCGTTAAATTTAAACGTATATATTCCTTCTGATAGAAAAGCACAGGATAGTATATCAGATCTAAATTCGCTAACTGTTAATAAAGGCAGTGAAACCATGACTGAGAGTTTAAGTAGTTTTAGTCAGAGAAGTAGCGAATTAATTTCTAGTGAAATCTTGCTGAGCAGCGGTAGCATGGTCAAGGTTAAAGATAGTCCACCCCTAAGCCATCAAAGTTTTCTCACTAAAACATGCTGTTCAACCAACTACGATTCTGATACTGATGATTTTGACTTGACAAAGTCCTTCACATTATTTCCTAGTACCAAAAATAAAACAAGGGATCGAGTTAATGAAAATTATCAGAGTATGAAGAACAGTAAAAGGAGACAGCACAGTATGAAAATAAGTGGAGAAATATTGCCAGTAAACACTAATAAACTACAGTCACCAAACAAGGAAAACGCAGTCTTAATGAATGTGAAAGAAACTGGCAGCAGTGCAAAAAAAATTAGAAAGGTTGATATCACTAGAATACGGACTATTAATTTATGTAAGAATAGGTCTAGGACAGCAGAATTGAAGAAAGTTCAACGAAGCCTAAAGTTTGATGATCTGAGAAAGAGTCAACCAGAAAAGGAATTAATCAATTACATCAGAATTGATGTAAATAAATACACAAATCTCATTGCACAGAAACAGTCAAATGCTCTCAGAGGACGCAAAGATAAATCTCATCAGTTCAAATGCACGTAAATTATATTTATATAGCAATTTTATTATCCAGGACTAAGTAATTTCCCATTATTTGGCTTTACAACATCTGTATTACTGACTCCTCTTTTGTTATCCTTGTGGGATACGCTGAGCCATGTATACTATAGAATGAGGAAAAAGTTAGGTTAATTCATTCCATTCATTTATGTATTTCGTGGATGTGTCTCTTTGGAAACTATTTCATTATTGTAAAATAGTTTAATGATAATTATTGCTTAGATCACTAAGTATATTTATGTATGTTTGTCCTTAGGGAGATTTCTTTTATTGATTTAGGCCGATTGCTTTGTACACATTTTTTTAGGTTTCGTTGGTCATTTTCCGTTGATAAAATTAGAAATGAGTAGCACAAATAAACTAGACAAATATGGTTTTGGAATTAATAGATTGTTACCGTCTCGCTGAATAGCTCTCTTCTGTGACACAGTCAAAACACTGGTAAAGTCTTTTTTGCCAGCCTGTCCTCACAAAATCTTTGGCGACATATTTGTGTTGTTATAACAAAATTTGAACAGTTAGTATTAACCTAGGATAACTTGTAAAGAGAAATAGGATTAAAATCATATAGTTAAAAAAATGTCTTAAGAGTACACACTCAAGTACATAGCCAAAGGTCAGCATTGCATAAACCCAACTGAAATGAGGAGGTCTTTTGATCAGACTCAGTTGAAGGTCTGTCTGTCTTTGACTTTGAGCCAGCATTTGAGTTTCATTTTTCTGATTGACATGAATTCAGTATCCTCTCGTTTTAACTGTATAAGAATAACACAAAATTTGACTTATGGAGAATTAGTTACTAGCTTAATTATGTTGCAGGTATTAATATGGCTTTTTTTAATCAAACAGATTACTAATAATTATATATGAGTACAATGCTAAACTTGTTTATAATTTTTTCATAGGAAATTGGTAGTGTATGATATTTCATTTTTTCATCCTGTATTTTAATTAGGTTTACAAATTACAAAAAATGTGTAACTGTACTATTCAGTTACGCTTATTGTATATTATACTATTTTAGTTTATAAAAATGGAAATCTTAATTTATGTATGTAGGGCTTTTCCTTTGCTGAATATTTTGACCTCCGACTGATTTGATCTTCAGCAGATACAAAAGAATAAGAAGGAAACAGGTTAGGAAGCTTGAACAGTTCCTTACTGATTCTGGGATAATTTAAAAATTGGTCAATGGAACATCATATTGTGGAATGGTAATTTTAAACAGTATAATTACTAAATATGCACTAAAAAACAACTTCATGCACGGCGTTTAATTAGGCACGCCCGCAGCACTCACAGCCACACATTCCTAAAGACAAATAACTCAAGAGCTCTCATCAAAGCACTGTAGGCACTCATACAAAAACCCAGACACCCTCACCCTACTCAGATGTCATCAAAGTACCTAGAGAACCCAAGAAGCTCGGCCCTAATAATATGATGATCCACTCACATATTGATATACCATCGCAGAATTTGCCAGGGACTGTCCCTTCTTACAGCCCTCTACATATACATGTTCTCTAATTCTTTTGGATCTGTTGAAGTGGACCTAAGTTGCAGGTTGAAATGTACAAACATCCATTTTCCATTTTTTTATCTTCATTTGGGATTTTCTATCCCATTGACATGTGTTGAATACACTTTCATGCACCTATCCCCCAAACATGTTCATTTCTTTAAAAGGCTCCTTTTTATGTAGCTATATTATAATATTTGAATAGGTTTATTTAAATATTATTTCTTTATTTTTAGCAAGAGAGATAATGTGAGATAAGTTCATATAATTATATAGTTGTACAAGAATAATTATAGTTTATGATATAGTTATTTTATTAAAAAGAAGTGAAATATAGCATGTGTTATTTATAGCCTTTTATTTTCAATCCCTCAATCCAAAATATTTTATGGGATGCTATCATTCAACCCATTTTCCAATTTAAGCAGTGGTGAAACGTTATATCAGTAGACTCCTCTGCTCTTAATGTCTCTCTCACTATGCTGTCGGCACGTCACCATTTCTCTGGAACTGCCAAACGTGTCCTGTCGTTTTTATAATTTTCCTATAGGTGGTTAACTTTTTATCAGCTCCCGGTGCCTGGTTACCTTAGCGCTGTTGTCATGTTTGTGTGATATGTGCCCAGGGGTGCCACTCCCCTCAGGGTGCTTGACTAGGTACCCCGCTATTGTCACACTAGCACCCTAGTTGGAGTTGTAGCTAACAACAGCTTTGAGGGCATTTTCCTTATGTTTTCATAAGTTCTCTTTCGGCATAAATAATGAGGACATTTCCCCTTTCGTCTAAATTCTCCGATGACATGAAATGAGTTATGGATATGAATTGCAGAATGTGAAAATAGACTGGATCGTACCTGAGTTTCTCTTTTCACCCCCTAGTGCTGTATAGCCCCTATTGGTTTAGCGCTCCCCCATGGTCATATAAAATCATGTGCTGTAATATCGCTACAAGTTTGGTTCTTGTTTTTTAAGGAAATAGTCAGAGGAGAGCGTAATCGAAGCTGATGTAGTCGATGAGGTACTTAACAAGAAAGGCTTGTTTGAGATCAGTGTGCAGGAGGCCCAGGTAGTGTGCAGTGAAGTTGGAGGCGGAGGTGGGGTACATCTCCTGGGGCAGCAGCATCTCTCCCTCACTACCTAACCAACGTAGAACAGAAGTAGAGTCCTCACGCAGCCGCTCGAACTTGCCAATGAAGTCGTACTCGATGGCACAAGGATTACACAGCTGTGGTGACAGATGATGGTGAGTATGGTCTTTCGGGGGTAGTGTTTAGCAGTATATAATGCTGCTCAAAATCTCTAAATTCAGATAAAAAAAAATTCGAGCACAAGTTGGATAAATACGTGAGCAATGTTGGTCAATGTATAAATAGGTGCCTCGATTAACCACTAGGTATTACAACTTTCATAGTAAGTAATTTCTTGACGCTCTCCCTTCTCCACTCCCACCATCCTAGTCTATCCTCATACCATTATTAGTTATCCCACTCATTAGACATCTTCCTAGACTTCTCTATCGGAGTCTGTTTCTTTAATTTACTTAAAGAATAGAGCAACCATGGTGAATTTTGAATTTACTTTCTGGAAGGGGTACCAAGAGGCGAGAAAGGTGTCTGGTGCTCATCCAGTGGAAGAAGCGCCATTAAGTGTACAAGTACTGTACTTACCTGGTGTATGGAGCGCCAGTGTGGGTCCAACTGGACCAACTCCTCGTTGTCCTGCTCCACGATGAACCTGACAAAGTCCACGAAGCTCACCAGATCTCCTGGTGATGAGAGGCTAAAACAAAAACAACACGTTGCGAATACTGTACTCTATTAAATTATTTACAATCCATATAGTATTTTTTAAAAAAAATCGGTTTATAATAATGGAACTTATAAAGGGTACTGATAATTTACTAAACGTTGTATTCAAGCATTATCTAGTAGACGACAGTCTAATGCCATTTTCAACATGTGAAAATCAAATTGGTAAATCGGATTTAAAGAATATTGACTTTACACGGATCATGAAGACAGCGTGTAACCTGCTATTTCATAAGTAAATTTTTTTTTTAATAATAGTAATAATCCGTATACGATGCCATTTAAAACTTTTGTGTGCGCGCGTGATTTTTTTTCATGTAATTTAATTTACTAGGATTAAAGCCTATGGTATCAACAGCACGAAGGTCATTATAAAGCTGCAGGTCACGTTATTCAGCCAGTTTAGCTGAATAAACTGAAAATTTTTTTATGCCATAAATTTGCTAAAATCAGTCTGACCATAATTTTAATATATATATATATATATAATATATATATATATTAATATATATATATATATATATATTATATATATATATATATATATATATATGGTTTAGAAAGACACGTAAGCAAACACTATAACATATTTATTAGAAAACGTTTCGGTCCTGGGACTTGATCACTTCTAACATACAGAGGTAGAAAGACATTATATATATAGGCGGAGAGTGAGATGTGACGCACGTGACCTGAGGAATGTCATAAGAACATAAGAATGGAGGAACACTGTAGAAGGCCTCTGGCCCATGCGAGGCAGGTCCTTATCAAAACAACCTCTGCCTATGATGAGGACGGGTAGACGATGAAATCATGTGACTCCTGTGTTGTTGGGTTGGTGCTGCTTGAGTATCATGTATGCCAATGTTTTTGAAATTTTATAGTTTCCAGTGTTGCGTTCTATAGTGTCGGTGACGGTGATTAGTGAGGCTTCTAGGCACCGTCGGCGTCTGAGGTATGGTTCGGTGAGAACGAGTTGTGCCTCGTTCCAGTTCATCAAATGCCCCGTGGAGTCTCTGTGGAGGACACAGGCGTACCTTACATCGTCTCTGTTAGAGGCATTTCGATGCTCATTCAGGCGGACTGCAAGATCTCTGCCTGTCTCGCCTACATATTTCTTGGGACAGAACCCACAGGGGATAGTGTAGACGCCTGCTGTAGAAGTTAGAGGTGTGGGGCTGCGTTTAGTAGTGAGGTCTTTGATAGAGGATGTGTTTATGGTGGAAACGTTGATGTTACTCATGGCAAGTGCCCGGCGAGTATTCGTGGCAACATCGCCACATGGGAGTACTATGAACTGTTTAGGGGGCTGTTCCATGGGCGGTTTGTTGAGGATAGCTTGTGCCTTGAGTCTGCAATCTCGGATGAAGAAAGATGGGAACTGAAGACGTGTAAAGGCTTGTGTTATGTAAGTGCATTCTTCTAGAAAACAAGGGCTGGAGATGCGAAGAGCTCTCAAGAAGAAGCCAATGAGGACTCCTCTCTTAGTGCGGGTATCTTGGTGTGAATAAAGTGTATAAGATCGTCCTTGTTGGTAGGTTTTCTATACACTTTGAAGAGAAGTTTGTCACTGTCGGGAGATCTGCACAGTAGAACGTCGAGGAAAGGAAGTTTGCCATCATTTTCGAGTTCAAGTGTAAACTTTATTGATGGTTCAACTGCATTGATCTTGTTGAGAAGGGCCTGGATATTGAGACGTCTCGGATAGAAAACCAATATATCATCAACGTATCTTAGCCAGGTAACGGTGTTGGGAATGAGGGTGCTGAATTTCTCTGTCTCCAAGTTTTCCATGAAGAGGTTGGCAAGCACAGCACTGAGCGGGCTGCCCATTGCCATCCCAAAGCATTGTTTGTAACAGTTGTCCTGATACTTGAAGAAGTTGAAATTAACACACAGTTCCACTAGATTGATGAAATCTAGAAGAGGTAAAGGGAGGTCGTGGTTTTCAGTGAGCCTCTGTCTCAGAATGTTGATTGCAGCGTCAGTAGGAACGTTGGTAAAGAGGGCTGTGACATCGAAGGAAGCCATGCTTTTGTTTTTGACATTCAGGTTGGAAATTCGGGAGAGAAGGTCACCTGAGTGTTTGAGGTGGGCTTGACTGATAGTGCCCAGAAGCGCTGAAAGGTATTTGGCAAGGTGGGCGGCTAGTCTGTGTGGTGCACTCCCTATGCCCGAAGTGGGTAGGCCGTAGTGGGGTGCCAGGTTTGTGTGTCTTAGGAAGGCCATACAGGCGTGCTGGTTTCGGTTGACCTGGTAAAAGTTTAAGTAGTTTTTTGCCTTGTTCTGATTTTCGTAAGATGCTACGAGCCTTTTGAAGGAAAGTCTGGGTACTTTGAAGTAGCACTGATTCCGATACAGGCTGGTATGTGTTGGCATCGTTGAGAAGATTTAAGACTTTATTGTTGTAGTCGACAGTGTTGAGTAACACCACACCACCTCCTTTGTCAGCGGTTGTAATGACGATATCATCGTTGTTGGCCAAGTTCCTGAGTGCTTGGATGTATCTTCTGGGAATGACCGGTCTTGAAGGCTCAGTAGCTGTATATATATGTACATATATATATGTACATATATATATGTACATATATGTATATATATATATATATTATATTTTATTTTATATATATTATATATATATATATATATTTTATATATATTATATATATAATATATATATATATTTTTATATATATATATATATATATATATATATGTATATATATATATATATGTATATATATATATATATATATTATATATATATATATATATATATATATTATATATATATGTATATATATATATATATATATATATATATATATATATATATATATATATATATATATATATATGCAATAAGATCACATAGTTCCTTGATAATGTGAGTAGTCACGAAAGCGCTTGGAATTTCTCTATTCTTTCAGAGTGGTTGTTTTGCATATATATATATATATAATATATATATATATATATATATATATATATATATATATATATATATATATATATATATATATATTGAATTGATGAGGGAAAAAAGGTGAGTGGTGCGTTCAGGTATATGTGGAGTCAAAAAACGTTATCTATGGAGGCAAAGAAGGGAATGTATGAATATATAGTAGTACCAACACTCTTATATGGATGTGAAGCTTGGGTGGTAAATGCAGCAGCGAGGAGACGGCTGCAGGCAGTGAAGATGTCCTGTCTAAGGGCAATGTGTGGTGTAAATATGCAGAAAATTCAGAGTGTGGAAATTAGGAGAAGGTGTGGAGTTAATAAAAGCATTAGTCAGAGGGCAGAAGAGGGGTTGTTGAGGTGGTTTGGTCATTTAGAGAGAATGGATCAAAGTAGAATGACATGAAAAGCATATAAATCTATAGGAGAAGGAAGGAGGGGTAGGGGTCGTCCTCGAAAGGGTTGGAGAGAGGGGGTGAAGGAGGTTTTGTGGGCGAGGGGCTTGGACTTCCAGCAAGCGTGCGTGAGCGTGTTAGATAGGAGTGAATGGAAACGAATGATACTTGAGACCTGACGATCTGTTGGAGTGTGAGCAGGGCAATATTTAGTGAAGGGATTCAGGGAAACCGGTTATTTTCATATAGTCGGACTTGAGTCCTGGAAATGGGAAGTACAATGCCTGCACTTTAAAGGAGGGGTTTGGGATATTGGCAGTTTGGAGGGATATGTTGTGTATCTTTACACGTATATGCTTCAAAGCTGTTGTATTCTGAGCACCTCTGCAAAAACAGTGATAATGTGTGAGTGTGGTGAAAGTGTTGAATGATGAAAGTATTTTCTTTTTGGGGATTTTCTTTTTTTTTGGGTCACCCTGCCTCGGTAGGAGACGGCCAACTTGTTTAAAAAAAAAATATATATATATTATATATATATATATATATATATATATATATATATATATATATATATATATATATATATATATATTATATGTATATGTATATATATATATTTTTTTTTTCAACAAGTTGGTCGTCTCCCACCGAGGCAGGGTGACCCAAAAAAAAGAAAGAAAATCCCCCAAAAAGAAAATACTTTCATCATCATTCAACACTTTCACCACACTCACACATTATCACTGCTTTTGCAGAGGTGTCCAGAATACAACAGTTTAGAAGCATATACGTATAGAGATACACAACATATCCCTCCAAACTGCCAATATCCCAAACCACTCCTTTAAAGTGCAGGCATTGTACTTCCCATTTCCAGGACTCAAGTCCGACTATATGAAAATAACCGGTTTCCCTGAATCCCTTCACTAAATATTACCCTGCTCACACTCCAACAGATCGTCAGGTCCCAAGTATCATTCGTCTCCATTCACTCCTATCTAACACGCTCATGCACGCTTGCTGGAAGTCCAAGCCCCTCGCCCACAAAACCTCCTTTACCCCCTCTTTCCAACCCTTTCGAGGACGACCCCTACCCCTCCTTCCTTCTATAGATTTATATGCTTTTCATGTCATTCTACTTTGATCCATTCTCTCTAAATGACCAAACCACCTCAACAACCCCTCTTCTGCCCTCTAACTAATGCTTTTATTAACTCCACACCTTCTCCTAATTTCCACACTCCGAATTTTCTGCATAATATTTACACCACACATTGCCCTTAGACAGGACATCTCCACTGCCTCCAACCGTCTCCTCGCTGCTGCATTTACCACCCAAGCTTCACATCCATATAAGAGTGTTGGTACTACTATACTTTCATACATTCCCTTCTTTGCCTCCATAGATAACGTTTTTTGACTCCACATATACCTCAACGCCCCACTCACCTTTTTTCCCTCATCAATTCTATGATTAACCTCATCCTTCATAAATCCATCCGCCGACACGTCAACTCCCAAGTATCTGAAAACATTCACTTCTTCCATACTCCTCCTCCCCAATTTGATATCCAATTTTTCTTTATCTAAATCATTTGATACCCTCATCACCTTACTCTTTTCTATGTTCACTTTCAACTTTCTACCTTTACACACATTCTCAAACTCATCCACTAACCTTTGCAATTTTTCTTTAGAATCTCCCATAAGCACAGTATCATCAGCAAAAAGTAACTGTGTCAATTCCCATTTTGAATTTGATTCCCCATAATTTAATCCTACCCCTCTCCCCGAACACCCTAGCATTTACTTCTTTTACAACCCCATCTATAAATATATTAAACAACCATGGTGACATTACACATCCCTGTCTAAGACCTACTTTTACCGGGAAGTATTCTCCCTCTCTTCTACACACCCTAACCTGAGCCTCACTATCCTCATAAAAGCTCTTTACAGCATTTAGTAACTTACCACCTATTCCATAAACTATATATATATATTAATATATATATATATATATTATATATATATATATATATATATATATATATATATATTATATATATATATATATATATATATATATATATATATAATGTATATGTATTTATATATATATAAATATATATATATATATATATATATATATATAATATATATATATATATATATATATACATATATATATATATATATATATATATATATATATATATATATATATATATATATATATATATATATATATATATATATATCACTGATTTTAAGTAATATTAAATAAATTTAAACGTATCTAAAATATATTCAGTAGAGTTCAACCTAAAGAATTATCTTGGGTTAAGCTAGGTTAGGTGAGAATTCCAAGTTAGGTTTGGTTAATAAATAAAAAAAAAAATACACCATTGTCAGCGGAAAAATATCAATCTGTAATTTTTTTTTTGGGGGGGAGAGCGGGAAAGTCCATTTTTTAAAGGAATTCGGATTATCAGGCACGACAAATACATTAAATATATATATACGGAACGGATAGGATTCGAACCCATAGCAATCAAATTTTAGAATTAGCATACCAGCGCTCTAACCACTATACCATGCCAGTTAGGACTCATTCAACTAGGTATAATGGTCCAAGCCGGACGAAACGTCTCTACAAGTTTCAGTCTCCTATTGTGCGGGTTATTTGTGTATATTTCTATATACTAGGAAGATTAGCATGGACCCCATTATGACTGCGAATATTAGGCTGCACAGACGATTCTGACACCAACATGGCTGTGGTCAGATCTAACTCAAGTCCCTTCCAAGCCGTTATCAATGATTTGTGAAATCTTAATAACATGCATAGTGGTGCTCTCAGTGTACACACATCCAGATATATACGCTATCTAATTAATTCAAAATAATTTTGATATAATTAACCCATAATTAACAGATTTAAGCAAAATAAATTCAGGCAAGTACATATCTAAAATGTATTTTACTTCAGGCAATACTACAGTTCCACTGGCGGTGTGAATCCATAGAGCAAATGTTGCATAATTAATATTTTTTAACGTTTTCAATTAAAAAAAATAGCTCACCCAAACTTTTCTTCAATTCTTTCTTTCATGTATTTACGGAAGTTTACCCTCTCACGTCCTGTGTATCCCTCCAGCTTATCCCTGTAGGTAGAGATGACCCGTTCGAGGGGATGTCGAACGATTATCATTTTTCTGTAGGAGGCTAACATGTCCGCCCTCGTGTCCTCGAACCTGGGATGGTACAGCGACCACAGGTACGGGTGGCTGTGGACCGCATCTCTAGGAACGAAATTGTGGGAATTGAAATGCTGCGAGTTATGAGATCATTCTCTGCTTTTCGCAAGAAAAATTAAATATGAAGGTACATAAGAAGAATAAAAAATTAAAACTTTTTTGCACGAACATAAAACAAATAAATATTATCACAATAGGTTAAAGGAATCATAATAACCCTTCAACAGGTCTATTTTACTCACATATTTATCTCCCCCCCCCCCACACCGCATCATGGACATCATCCATTCAAGGAAGAGGAACACTGTCAGCCTTCCAATTAAATATTTAATTATGTGATTATTTAAAATATAATTGCCCTTCGAAAACAAATGTTAACCACTTAAAGGATATATGATAATTGAGGGTAGTTCATGCATGTTATCCCCGCCCTGTAATAGTAAGCAAACCCACCTGGTGAGCTGCGATGTCTTGTTCTCTGTGCTGATGGCGCCAGTTAACTTCAGCCACATTCTCTTCCAGCTGGTGCTGGCAGCCTGCTGGCAGTAATACGAAATCATCAATATGTGTAGATGTGTTTCGGTTCCCTGTGCAATCTGAAAAATATATTCTTATACCCCATAAGCCCAACCCCCTCTACCTCAATGCAGTGTGAGTTTGTAATTCAATTAAATATCAGCGTTCATGATTTGAAATCAATCAAAAGAGGCATTCACAAATTATCACATGGAAGCTAATATCCCAATTTCTTCAGTAAGTGGCAACTTAGTACCTATACAGCTCAAACCCAATTCAAACTTTCCACTAAATAAGATATACCAATTTTAAAAGTTTAAAATCGTTCAGAAAATACGGCATTCTCTAGTTATAACATGAAGATCAATATCCAAAAATATTCTGACACTTGGCACATAAATCCGGCCAGAAGTTACATTCGCAAGTTATCGGCATTCAAGGTTTGAAGGCAATTGGATGAACCATTCGCAAACTATCGCATGAAAATATTTCAGTTTTCCAGTTACTTGTTAAAAGCAAAATTGGTAAAGTGGCAGCTAAGTTTTTCTGACGCCTGTATTGGCAGAGAACCTGGATTTTCATGATGAGCCTGATTTATTGTTGAACTTTAGCTGTGATGATTCCGCTGGGCATTATTTCGGGAGTCCTGAAATTATACGAAACCTGTCATCTTGCTCATTGTCAAACACAGAACTGAAACCCTTAGCCTAGGATTCAAATCCACTACAGGCATACTAAAGCCACATCACTAAAAATTAAATATTGGGATAACTTTGACTACCAGAATGGCATGTTCGAGGCATGCATGTTAATGCATCTCTCTCCACACAGCTCTCCAGTCCTACCTCGTCGGTATTTCATTCCCCTCAAAACTGAAGAAGGCACTAATATCAGAGTTACCACAGCCGACAAAGGTGGTGTCGTCGTCATCTCGGATAACAGATCTCTAAACTTCACTCTCCTTGTCATATCATGAGAGATTGCATACATCTTCAACTCACCTAGACGAGACACCACTGATAAAAAAGATACATAGTCCTCCCTAACAACTCTGCTTTTAAACACCTTCAGCATTCTTTCCAACACGAAATTGCAAGTGTCCGCTACTTCCTCTACTGCGATCAAGAGTATCACCATGGTTACGGGATATTTACAATCCCTTGCAACGACTGTGACGAAATGTACGTGGGAGAAACATCATGAGACCTTCACACATGCATTTCTGAACACCAATATGCCATCAGATTGGACCACATGAATAATCCTTGTATTTCACACGGAAACTCCCACAACTATTTGGTTAATTACTACAGTGTAAAACTCACTGTCAAAAAAAAAAAAAAAATCCTGGAATCATCAGTCATCACCAAATTAATTTCATTTAGAACCATGGCGTCTGCAACATACCTGAGCCTGTTGCCAGTTAGTTTCAGATCGGGTTTCCCTACATAACAGAATGAAAAACTGCGGTAGGCCCACTGACCCATGCTAGACAGGTCCTTCTCACATTCAACTCTGTTCAATCAAGCATTTGTCTAACCATTTTTAAAGCTTCAGCACACCTAACATGACTACACCTCACTACGTTCTCTACATTAATGCTCATCTAGGTTTCTCTGATTGTGACTTGAAAAAGTCCACGGCATAAGTGAGTTGTCAGTGAAGAATCGCATTATACTACATTTTTGCCTCTATCCACCGTGTCGGTGAAGACAAATGGTTTTTAATACTTGACGTGCTGTTGGAGTGTGAGCAAAGTAACATTTATGAAGGGGTTCAGGGAAACCGGCAGGCCGGACTTGAGTCCTGGAGATGGGAAGTACAGTGCCTGCACTCTGAAGGAGGGGTGTTAATGTTGCAGTTTAAAAACTGTAGTGTAAAGCACCCTTCTGGCAAGACAGTGATGGAGTGAATGATGGTGAAAGTTTTTCTTTTTCGGGCCACCCTGCCTTGGTGGGAATCGGCCAGTGTGATAATAAAAAAAAAATAATTCTTTCTTTCAGGCCTTAATTGGATAAATTTTTGGGTGTTGGGCTGTGTAGATGCACTCTGCCAATTTTATTGAAGAAATTGTGAAAATATAAATATATTGTTCATTATGCAAAAATTCGTAAACGCCTCATCCGGCAGCTGCAAACTTGATTGCTATTGAACGCTTTCTGTGTGTGTGGGGGGGGGGGCGAGGTGTTGCAGTGTTCTAGTTTCAGCTCCTGGCAACGCCTCTTCGCTGGTCGTTACTACATAGGTTCACTTTTTTCTGGCTTCGAGAGCCTTTTCGTACCTCTCAAAGCTATACATAGATCCTGCCTCTACTACTTCATAGACCAGGTCGTTCCACTTCCTGACTACTCTAAGACTGAAGAAATACTTCTTAATGTCCCTGTGACCAACCTAAGTATTCAACTTCCAGCTGTGCCCTATTGTTCCTGTTTCCCATCCCTCAAACAGCCCGTGCCTATTTTCCCTATCAATTTCTCTCAGAATTTTGTTATCATATCACTCCTAGCCCTTCTGTCCTCCAGTGTCATTAGGCTGAGTTCCCTCAACCTCTCCTCATTGGACATACCCCATAGCTCCGGGACTAGTCTCGTTGCAAACCTCGGCCTGCACTTTCTCTAATTTTTTGACGTGCTTGACTAGGTTTGGGTTCCATACTGGTGCCGCATACTCCAGAATGGGTCTGATGTACAAAATATACAATGTCGTGAATGACTATTTTAATAATTGTCTAAAATCTAGTCTCATTTGTTCTGTGTGTGTGTGTGTGTGTGTGTGTGTGTGTGTGTACTCACCTATTTGTGGTTGCAGGGGTCGATTCATAGCTCCTGGCTCCGCCTCTTCGCTGATTGCTACTAGGTCCTCTCTCTCCCTGCCCCATGAGCTTTATCATACCTCGCCTTAAAACTATGTGTGGTTCCCGCCTCCACTACGTCACTTTCTAGGCTATTCCACGGCCTGACTACTCTATGACTGAAGAAATACTTCCTAACATCCCTTTGATTCATCTGAGTCTTCAACATCCAATTGTGACCTCTTGTGTCTGTGTCCCCTCTCTGGAACATCCCGTCTTTGTCCACCTTGTCTATTCCGCGCAGTATTTTATATGTCGTTATCATGTCTCCCCTGACCCTCCTGTCCTCCAGTGTCGTCAGGCCGATTTCCCTCAACCTTTCTTCGTAGGACAATCCCCTTAGCTCTGGCACTAGTCTTGTTGCAAACCTTTGCACTTTCTCTAATTTCTTGACGTGCTTGACTAGGTGTGGATTCCAAACTGGTGCTGCATACTCCAGTATGGGCCTGACGTAAATGGTATACAGTCTTGAACGATTCCTTACTGAGGTATCGGAACGCTATCCGTAGGTTTGCCAGACGCCCGTATGCTGCAGCAGTTATCTGATTGATGTGCGCCTCAGGAGATATGCTCGGTGTTATACTCACCCCCCAGATCTTTTTCCTTGAGTGAGGTTTGGAGTCTTTGGCCATCTAAACTACATTGTGTCTGCGGTCTTCTTTGCCCTTCCCCAATCTTCATGACTTTGCATTTGGCAGGGTTAAACTCAAGGAGCCAGTTGCTGGACCAGGCTTGTAGCCTGTCCAGGTCTCTTTGTAGTCCTGCCTGATCCTCATCCGATTTGATTCTTCTCATTAACTTCACATCATCTGCAAACAAGGACACTTCTGAGTCTATCCCTTCCGTTATGTCATTCACATATACCAAGAACAAACACAGGTCCTAGGACTGACCCCTGTGGAACCCGCTTGTCACAGGCGCCCACTCTGACACCTCGTCACGTACCATGATCGTTGTTGCCCCCCTGTCAGGTATTCTCTGATCCATTGCAGTGCCTTTCCTGTTATGTGTGCCTGATCCTCTAGCTTTTGCAGTAACCTCTTGTGAGGAACTGTGTCGAAGGCCTTCTTGCAATCCAAAAAAAAAAAAAAAAATGCAGTCGATCCACCCCTTCTTCTTGTTTTTATTCTTTTCCCCTTTTCAAAAAAACCCCGTAGGTTTGTGACCCCCGGTTTTTCCCCTTCCCCGGGAAAACTTTGCTTTTTCCCCGGGTTTGCCAGGCCCCCGTATGCTGCGGGGTTTTTTGGGTTTGTGTGTGCCCCCCGGTGATGTGCTCGGTGTTATGGTCCCCCAAAGGTCTTTCCCCCGGGAGGGGGGTCTTTTTGTTTTTGGGCCAAAATACCCTTTACTCTGTCTGGGGGTCTTTTTTGGGCCCCCCCCCAATTTTTCATAAATTTGCATTTGGCTGGTTTTAAATTTCGAGAACCCAGTTGCTGGCCAAACAGTCCACCCCTGTCCAGGTCTTTTTGGGGCAGCCCCTGCCTACCCTTTCGCCCAAATTTTTAAATTCTTCTCATCAACTTACGTCATTTTGCGAACAGGGACATTTAAGAGTCTTTTCCCTTCCTTTCATGTCGTTCACTTATATAAAAAATTAGCACTGGTCCAAAGAAACTGCCCCCTGTGGGGGGCCCCCCCCCCCCCCCCCAAAAAACCCGGGCGCCCACTGTGATACCTCTTCACGTACCATGACTCTTTGTGCCTCCTGTCGGGAATTCCCTTTTCCTTGCATTTCCCCCAAATTTTTATGTGCGCCTGTCCCCCAGCTTCTCCCACTAATCTTTGGGGGGAAACTGTGTCAAAGGCCTTCCTGCAGCTGGGGAAAACGCAATTCCCCAACCCTCTCTCTCTTTGTCTTATTTGTTTTTCTTGTCATAAAATCCAGGGGGGTTTTGTGATAAAGATTTCCCTTCCATGGGAACCCCCATGCGGGTTTTTCATTTATAACCCTTTTTCCCTTTTCCCAGGTTTTCGACCACTTCCCCCTGATAATCTTCTCCTTTGGATTTTGCACACAATACATTTTCAGAAAAAAGGGGTCTGTATTTTTTAGTCCCTCGTTTGTGTTTCCTTTTTTAAAATTATGGGGACACATTAGCTGTCTTCCATTTTCAGGAGTTGCCCAGTTTCAAGGGATTTTGGGAAGATTTTTGGTTAGAGGCACGCACAGCA